TTCTCTTATTATAATTACTCTCGTTAATCAGTATTTTTGTGTTATCAAAATCAAAATTATGCAACTTCTGTTGTGCATGCTGTGCTAGTGCTGTACCATTTTCGTTATTTTTTTTTAGGCTATACTTATGTTCGTATATTCTTTTCTTTAGATATTGTCCTGTTTGACCTATCTATGTGTTATCACAATTCAAACAGTCTATTTTGTAAATTACATTAGGCGTGTCTAAGTTGTCAATCCTAGGTTTAAATTTTGTGAAACATTCATTTGCTAAGGTGTTTTTAGTTTTCTCTGCCATGTTGATATTATGTGGTTTGAATATATTTTTAATTTTTGTGTTAATTTCCGGTATATATGGTAATGATATATACTTGATATCACCTTCTATTCTTTTATTTATGTTTTTCCATTTAGTTGAATTGTATATTTTATTTATCCTTTGCTTTATGATTGGTTCGAAAATCGACCTTGGACAGTTGTTTATTAATAAAATGTTTTTTATTTTTTCAAGATTTTTTGTTCTATACTCCCAATGTGACAATTTAATGGCTCTATCTGTAAGTGCCGTTATTACACTTTTTTATATTTCATTGGAGCGTACGATTGATAATTCAGATACCTACCAGACCATACCTCCTTTGTGTACCAACTTGTTTTGATTTCCCCGTTGTTATCATAATTAATTGTTAGGTCTAGAAAGTTTATAGAATTACCTTTATCTTCTTCCAGAGTAAACTTTAGGGTGTCATGAAAGGCATTAAACTTATCTAGTGTATATTGAATTTTGTCTTTTGGCAGGCGCATTATGCAGTCATCCACATATCGTTTAAAAAATTCACACTATAGTTTAATTTAGATATTATTTGTTCTTCCAAATTTTCCATTACCAAATTTGCAATTGTTGCTGCTATGGGAGAATCCATTGCTACTCCATATATCTGTGAATAGAACTTGTTTTCGTACTGGAAATATGTGGATTTTAAGCACAGCTCTGAAGTAAAAGAAATCAATATAAACAGTATTTTATTCGTTTTGTGTCCGATAATGGACAAAATTAATACTCCAAAGGAGTCAGGAAGGAAAGTCAGGAAAGTATATACAATAATTTTTATGTTGATCGCTTTTGGCATGATTGTAGATAATTGCTTTTCGTCCATCTATGCTTTTTTTGGTGCAGATTCAAAGCTACATTCGAGAGCTTCAACTTCACTGCAAAGCTTTCCAAAGCTGATTTGTTCTTGCATGTTAAGTCTTGGTCTTGGTCTTGCAGCAAGGGACTTGCAAGTTCTACACTTTTCACTTCACTTTAAGTGAGTGAATTGTCGGTATGTTAATCGTCTAAAACGGTTTGATTTTCGTATCATATTCTTCCTGAAAGTCTTGATTTTCATAGTTCTTGAAGTTCAGCAGAACATGATTTTGGCCATGGAAACCAGAAGACAGTATTGGTCTTGGTCTTGCTTTTTTTGCAAGATCAAGACACTAATGAAATTCAACTTCTGTTTTCTTGTGGAATGTGGATCATTTTCGCAATTTTGAATGTTTTTCTCCGATTCAATGAACGAAGTAGCTTGGTTTTGCCAACGCTCATTCACATTTTTCAACTACTCCTTCACTGCATCAAGATCAAGGCATAGTCTCATGCTACTTTCGGTTGATGAACCATACAGAGAGATTCCGCAATTTTTCAACTTCAAAGAGTTTCAAATCGGCTTTTAGCACCCTTTCAAATTAATATTTGCCTAGAGGACGGCCGTTAATTAATAAAGTTAGCAGGCGTGCACCCTCAATGGCCAATGCAGAGAAAGTGCAAAACAACCGTGTGATAAACCCGATAAACCGAAAAACAATCGCATGCGCCAAAACAAAACACAAAACGGTGTTTGAGGCGGTGAGGCGAGATTGAAGTGAGTCCCCTGAATGGAACAAGGTGTGAACTGCAGCGCCCCCACGCCTATTAAGAAGGCATTAACCAAGGTGTGAAACACCCGTCGCATCATGGTCGTTATAATGGGTTCCTTTTGTTTTAACGGCTGCGCCTTTTTTTGCCTGTACGATTCGTTTGTTTTTCGAGCCTCGAAACAGGTCAGGATTCCTTTGCAATTCCAAGATTAAAGCTGATTTAAATGGCTGTCTTCCAAATAAACAGCTGCTTTTATGCGTTTGTGTGTTTTTTTTTGTTAGATTGAGGGGCAATGAGCACTTTCATTCAACATCGAAAGCAGAGACATATCATATTAAGTAATGATTTAAAGTAGTAGAAAATAATAAATGTTTTGCTTAAATAAACTGCACAAGGCAAACATTGCACGGACAAACTTGCTCTAATTTTCAAAGTGGATAAATTCTGATTGATTGTTGTTTGAATCCTCACTGGTACAATTCTTTCTGTCAGTGCGGGTTTGTGAGATAAAGTTTCCACAGGATGCATTATGAAACATTGCAAAAGTTCTGAAAGTTTGGGGTGTTTACAAAAAACCGGTTTTTTTTTAAATTTCAACACCCAACCCATAAAAATTGACCTCACTTGTAAAAACAGTGTTGCAATTTTTCGACTACTTAACTCTTCATTTCCAGGGCGAATTCAAAAGATCAATGTTTTGGTCTTGCATTGATAACA